TGCAACAATGAGATGTACAAGTTGTTATGTCGAAAAACAAACTTTACAACTTTGATGGGCGGGGAGGATTCAGTGGGGGGAGCGGATGGGAAGGGGAAACAAAGGAGGAGGCAACAGTGCTTGATAAGAAATGTACTCATTATCTTGCCCATGTAATTGTAACCCCTCTGTACAGTATTTTCACAATAAAAGAAAAAAAAGAAAAAAAATGAGATGTTGTGGCTATTACCTGAATACAAATTAATTAGCTATCAACTTACAGCCTGCTCTACACCTTCCTTTGGATCCAAGCTAGAGGATAAGGCAGTAGTAACACATAACCTTCTCTTCTTAGATCTGTTTTCTTTCTGTTTCTGCTGTTGAATAACTTGTGGATTTTGTGTCTGTGTATAGAATATAATGGGAGATTTTTTTCTTTATATTGAAGTGATCGTATCTCAATTTTTTGTCATTTGGAAGTATATTTGTTTAACCTTTAAATACAAAGTTTTAGTTTTATTTCCACATAAAGAGTATATTTCTGAAATAGTTTTGAAAGAAGCTGCCAACAATACCTTTCTTTGTTGTTTTTCAGATGAGCAAGTTGTCATGGGCAATAAGCTTCTTGTATATATTAGGTAAAAACTTTTTGCTTATTTATCTGTGACTATATTCTTTCCTTATTTCCCCCTAATGTTTGAAGAGAAATTATTATTTAATACTTGTCTATATAAAGCTTTCCGTTTCCAGAGGGCTTTTTTTTTTTAAGGTGTTGATACTGGGGCTTGAACTCAGGGCCTGGGCACTGAACTTCTTTTGGCTAATGGCTAACACTCTACTATTTGGACCACAGCTCTACTTTCAGCTTTTTTTGGTAGGTTAGTGGAGATGAGAATCTGATGGACTTTTTAATCATCATTCTTCTTTTCTTTCTTTCTCCCCCACCACCCTTTTTTTTGGTGTGCCAGTCCTAGGGTTTGAACTCAGGTTCTGGGTACTATTCCTGAACATTTTTGCTCAAGGCTAGCAAATACTCTACCACTTGAGCCACAGCTCTACCTCTGACTTTTTGGCAATTACTTGGAGAGAAGAATCTTATGGACTTTCCTGCTCAGGCTGGCTTTGAACCTTGATCTTCAGATCTCAGCCTCCTGGTTAGCTAGGCTTATAGGTATGAGCTACCAGCACTCAGCTAACTACCATTCTTAAAGGCACATCAGGCTGACTGGCAGCTATGAATGGTACCAGAGGTTCCTTCAAGATGCTGAGTGTGAGGTCTTTGGATAAAGTCCTGTTGCTCTCTGTTCCTCTAGTGCTGTTGTATAGAAATGGAAGTCCTCACTCAGGCTCAAGATGGGTTACTTCATTACCATTTTCTAAAGGGGATGTCATTATTTTTTAACTGACACATAAGAACATAAAAATGTGCATTTTTTAGATAAATATATATGTTGATGTTTAAATCGGGATGAACACATCTGTGCCCTCAAACATTTATCTTTCCTTTATAAGGGTGAAAAAACTCAAAGCCTTCCTTCTAGCTTTTTTTTTTTTGGGGGGGGGGGGGGCCGGGCAAGGGGCCTGAACTCTGGGCCTGGGCGCTGTCCCTCAGCTCTTCAGCTCAAGGCTAGCGCTCTACCACTTGAGCCACAGCGCCACTTCCGGCTTTTTTCTTTTTGCTTATGTGGTGCTGAGGAATCGAACCCAGGGCCTCATGCATGCAAGGCAAGCGCTCTACCACTGAGCCACCTTCCCAGCCCCCCTTGTAGCTTTTTGAAACATACATGCACATGATCATTATCTGTAGTTACCCTATAACCTTATTGTGCAATAGCGATGATCTGGTTTTGAACTTGAGCTGAAAAAACTGAGCCTGCTTCCAAAGCAACCTTGAATCTTGGGCTTGAGAGACAATACAGTGTGCTACTCACTTGAAAGATAACCTGTTTACAAGTCACCACATCTGCTTCTCCCCCCACCCCTTAGCTGCTGTCTGGCAGGTCGTGCATATCCCCTTGGTGACATCCCTGAAGATCTTGTCCCCTTGGTTAAAAACCAGGTTGGTACCATTTTCACAGCCTTTTTAATCTATACCACTTGAAATGCACTGAATATAACTTGCAGTGGAGGATTACACTTAGCTCAGGAATTATTTCCAATACAGGAATCGATTCACTGTCACAAAAATCAACAATTTTAGTTGATAGAGGATTCTAGAGAGATCTTACAACACAGTAGCAATTTAAACTGAATTCAGCCTACCTTTATTTTATCCAAGTGGGAATTATTACTACTGCAAGATGCTTTGAAAGCTGGGAAGAAATAATCAACAATTGCTGTTCACCTTGCAGGTTTTTGAATTTTTGATTCGCCTGCATTCAGCAGAAGCATCTCCTGAGGAAGAAGTCTATCCTTATGTCCGGACTTTGCTACATTTTGACACAAGGGAATTTCTGAATGTATTGGCACTGGTAAGGGACAGTATGATTTTATTGATGTTTTCCAAGGAGTCAGAATGATCATTTTTTGATAGAATGAAAGAAGAAACAATTATCCTTAGAAAAGCACAGAAGTAGTAAGTCAGAATTTCAAATGTTTGATTTTGTTGGGCTACCCATGTTCTCTGTGTAGTTCTTTATAGTTCTTCTTCTTTTCTTTTTTTTCCTGTCTCTGCACACTCATCATAAAGTTAAAAACATTAGGTTAGATATTTTTTTAAATTGTATTACCTGGCTTAATAAATGTGAATGAGGGCTCCAAGCAGACACAGTGAGGACAATGGAAATAATTTTAGTTGAACTGGAACATGCAGGCTTCATGCTAAACAAAACCCTTATCCATGTTTAATTAGAGATGAATTTGGATGAAGCAGGGTTTCTGTGAAAGTGTCCCTATGGGGATAATTATATAAAACATGATGAATCCTCCCAATTAAATAATATTGTAGTGGGTTTTTTTTTAAGCTTGGGTAAAATGGAAAGTACCTCTACAATAGTGGTTAGTGAAAGCATCACGTTCACAATAGGTAATGTATATACTTACACATGGTATTTGAATTTAACACAAACAAGGAACGATCTAAATGTTCTTAATGATTAACTCTGAGATGGGACAAATTTCCCTATGAGCATGTACTACTGATGTAACTTGAATATAGAATAAACTACTAAATTATTTTCCATATTTGAGTATCTGTAAGAAAGTTATTGTCTCATAATTTGAATTGGTTTAACTTGAAATTTTAACTTCAGAAGTAGTAACTTTAATAGCATAGGAGGAAGGGAAGAGAACAGCAGAAGTGAACATCAGATCTAGTAAGTTTAGGAGAACTGAGATATCCAGAGAACATACTTGGTGGCTGGCACTTAGAATAAAGAAACAGGAAGTGATAGAGTAAGAGAGTTTGGAAAGAGCAATAGAGAATAAGGAATTTGACCTAATTTTTTGTCATTAATGCAGATTATGTTTCTTTTTGCTCTTTTTTTATTAATGTGTACATGTGTACATGGGTCTGTGTATGTTTAGACTAGGAAACTGGACTGAGAACTAGATCTAGCCCCACTTAGCCCATGACTATTCAAGCTGAGAATGTTTATAAATATATATATGAATATATATATATGTATTTTTTAAAGATTGTGAAAAGCAAGAAGAATGTGTGATAGAGACCGTGTGTAATCCACAAATCCTGAAATCTTTACTCTCTAGTCCTTTATTTTTTTCATTTTATGCTAAATTTAAATTTAATAACAAAACAAAGTTATATTAAAGTACAAACAAAAACAAGGAAGTACCTGTACAGTATTAGTAATTTCCTTTAAATGAAAGATGCTCTCTGAGGTCCAGAGTGCCTGGCCCCTGGTCAAGAAATTAACAGATATATTTACATGTATGGCTAGTAGAAAAAATAAGGCCTGACTGGAAAATTGAAGGAGTCAGTGGGGTGCTTCAAGACAATGGGACTCTTCTCAACATTAAAAAAATGCACACTTCCATTTTCAAGATTAAGAAACACAGCAACCTGGCCCTATAGTCTCTCTATACAGTGAAAAAGTAATGAATGGGAGATTGGTAAAGAGATTGTAACAACTATTCCTTGCACATAAAAGGAGAAATATGTCCTCAGATTCAATTATTGTGGGGTTCTTCTCTATCCCAGAATTCTTACAAACTCCTACAGCACAGTCCAAATAGTTATGCATACTGAGCTCCCAGAAATAGGAGCTGGGTTGCCAGTAGTTGGGTCCATCAGAATTCAAGGTGCACCTTCAGGGTCTAAACATTTTCACATGGTCAAACACCATCCTGCTGGGATTCTGTGTTTCATTGCTAAAGATTTCCACTCTGTACTGGTTGAGCTTCTCTATCAGGCCAGAGATGGGATGAGCACTGAGTTGTGGCTTCATTGACTGGAGCAAGAGGAACAACACTCACTCAGACCTTGCCAGTATGTACTTGAAATCCTGTAAAGAAAACACAAAAAGTTAGATTCCCTCAGCCCTACCTAGCCCTTTATAGAGAATGTTCACAAACCCCTTGATTAGCCTTTAACTTGCTGTAATTATTACCATGATGATTTTTAAATTATTTTTCTTTTTTATTGTATTTTTATTATCTATAAGTAATTGTACAAAGGAATTACCATTCAAGAAATCTGTTTATAAGTACAATGCATCTTGATCATGGTCACCCCCTTTATTATTCTCCCTATAATTTTTAAGAGATTTCAAAAAGAAGTATGTATGTCCAAACTCACAGATTTCATTGGACTTGAGTTTTAGGTCGTTTGTGCTTCACAAACTGTAAATTGCCATTAGGACCTTTGCCTCCTATTCCTGTAGCAAACATTGAATATTTAGAAGCATCATCATGGAGCGATCATGTTCTAACAGTGATGTGCCATTTGGGTGGCAATTGATAACTACCACCAAAATACGTCCTTATGTTTATCATAACATTTACACTATCATATGTCACTACTTAATTATATTCATAGAAACAAATTTTTAATATCTGTTTTAAAGCAATGACAACATGCTGCCAGAAAGAAAATGGCTAAGGAAATTCTTTTTCATTTGCTGTCACTGTTGTCATTTTAAATACATTCATTACTTCTCTACAGTTTTAGATTTTAGTGGAATAGCACTTAGCTTAGCAGATGGCACTCTCTGTATCTGTAGAGCGACATCTTGCTTTAGCAAGGATGAGAGAGAGAAGAGGAAGAAGAAAAGGAAGAAGAAGGAGGAGGAGGAGGAGAAGGAGGAGGAGAAGAAGAAAGGAAGAGCGAAAGGAAGAGAGAGAGAGAGATTGATTCTCAGAAGTCAAGGCCAAAAGATTGCTTGTCTTCCTGTCTTCAGGCAGGGTCATATTTAACCCACATAAACATATAAATATCTCCTGGTTGAAGCTTCTCGATTAAGAGTTCCTACAATCTCCTTGGCAACTCTTTTCAGCTTTTCTCAAGTAACTAACAGCAAAGCAGACTAGTTCAAAAAAAAGTAGAAAGTAATTTATATGATGAAGGGGGTAGCATTGATCACGATGCATTATGCTCATAAATTGCCATGTTGAGTTGAAACCTTTTTGTACAACTACTTAAAGATAATTAAAAAGCTTTTTAAAATCCTATGTTAGACTTTAAAATATATATTTTTTTCTTTTACTTTGTAAGTAATTAGCTGGACAGTTCAACTGCTAAGCACTTAGCCTGAGAAAAGAAACCAAAAGGCATGGCAATAAGAACAAAGGAGGTTGGGGAAATCTAGGGCCCACTTAAAGACCACCAAGCATTCCATTTTGAATGAAACTATTATATAGACTTGAATTCACAGCTATAACGTTCATTTAAAAAAGTCTATTGGAGGGCTGGAGGCATGACTCAAGTGGTAGAATGATAGCTTAGCAAGTGTGAGGTCCTGAATTGAAACTCCAGCATGACCACACATACAATCTATATGGTATTAGTCCATTTTCTTTTGGTGTACTCAGAGACTTTATCTTTGCCTCAGCTTGTTTACTAGGCTGGCATTCTACCACTGGAGCCACCCTTCTGGCCCTGCTTTTTGCTGATTATTTTATTGTATTTATTTAATTTTGAGGGGGGGCGGTCCGGTCGTGGGGCCTGAACTCTGGGCCTGGGTACTGTCCCTCAGCTCTTCAGCTCAAGGCTAGCGCTCAACCACTTGAGCCACAGCGCCACTTCCGGCTTTTTTCTTTTTGCTTATGTGGTGCGGAGGAATCAAACCCAGGGCCTCATGCATGCAAGGCAAGTGCTCTACCACGGAGCCACCTTCCCAGCCCTTTGCTGATTATTTTAGAGATGGAGTCTAATGAATTTTTCTACCTAAGCTTGCTTCAAACTGATCCTCCAGGTCTCAGCCTCCTGAGTAGCTGACAGGCTTGAACCACCATTTGGCTTGTAGTCTATTGTCTTAAGAAAGTGTCATGCAGGGTGCTGATGGCTCATGCCTGTAATCCTAACTACTTAAGAGGCTGAGATCTGAGGATCAAAATTGGAAGCCATTCCAGGCAGGAAAGCCTGTGAGACTCTTATCTCCAATTAACCACCAGTGAACTGAAAGTGGAACTGTGGCTCAAAGTAGTAGAGCATTAGACTTGAGCACAAAAGCTCAGGGATAGCACCCAGGCCCTGAGTTCAAGTTTCATGCCCAATAACAACAACAACAAACAACAAAAAGTGCCAGTAAATTATTGTATGTGATTTAAACATTTCTCAGAATGAAATGCCTTTAAAAGAAAACCATAGGAAAGATCTTCAAATCTTTTATAGCATTCAGCATTTTCACTTCCTTTTTTTTATAATAGATACAATTTCAGTCCTTTGTATAGGAATCTATTTGTGTTAGGTACTTCTTTGACATGTGTTTTCTGTACTACCAAACAGAATCCAGTGCTTTCATTTACTTTGATGTATTTGATGCTTCAAAACCCATTTGCCTCACTCAAGCAGGAATATAAAAATATAAAGTATGTACTTGGCAGTGTTTGGAGAATAAGATACCTAATCCTTGGAAGCAGGCTTAAGAATTTTAATACTTTTGTAGTTTTATTGTAAGACTTTTTAAATGCCTTTTTAAACTTTATTTTATTATAAGGGTGATATCAGAGGGGTTACAGTTATATAAGTAAGGTAATGAGTACATTTCTTGTCAAACATTGTTACCCCCTCCCTTGTTTTCTCTCTTTCCCTCTCCTCTCTCCCTCCCCAAAGCTGTAAAGTTCATTTCCAACATAGTGTCTTATGAATATCTCTGTTGAATTGGTTCACCCTTTGTCCTTTGTCTCACCATTTTGTTATTCCTTTTCCCTTTCCCAAATCAGATAAACTTATATACAAGACACAGGGTACCAAAATCAAAAACAGGGATAACATGATAAACTAAAGGGAAAAAAAAGAAAGAAAGAAGAGCCCCGCACTGGTGGCTCTCGCCTGTAATCCTAGCTACTTTGGAGGCTGAGATCTGAGGATTGAGGTTCAAAGCCAGCCCAGCCAGGAAAGACCGTTAAGACTCCTATCTCCAATAAACCACCAGAAAACCGGAAGTGGCACTGTAGCTCAAGTGGTAGAGCGCTCTTCTTGAGCTGAAGAGCTCAGGAACAGTGCCCAGGCCCAGAGTTCAAGCCCCATGACTGACAAAAAAAAGAAAAGAAAAGAAAAAAAGAAAGAACTTTGGACAGTACATTAGTAAACAAAAAAAAAAACCCTCTTGTTTCCATACCTTGAAGTTCATTTCAATTAGCATAATCTTATATGGTCATATGTACATAGCTATTGAGCTATTATGATTCTGTGCTAGGACTGTCCCAGACTACTAATTATTACAAATAAGGGAAACCATGAAGCCTGTATTTCTTTGGGTTTTGCTTACTTCACTTAGTTTAATTTTTTTCCTGATCTTTCCATTTCTTTATGAATGGGGCGATATCATTCTTTCTGATGGAAGCATAGAATTCCATTGTGTACATATACCACATTTTCTTGATTTGTTCATCCACTGAGGGGAATCTGGGTTGATTCCATATCTTAGCTATGGTAAACAACAATGCAATGAACATGGTCATGCTGGTGGTTTTAGTGTGGCCCAGTTTGTGGTCAACTGGATAGATGCCCAGGAGTGGAATTATTGGGTCTTAGGGAAGCTCTATATTTACTGTTTTAAGCAACTTCCATACTGCTTTCCAGAGTGGTTGAGCAAGTTTACATTCCCACCAACAGTATAGTAACATTCCCTTCTGGCCATATCCCCGCCAGCATCTGTTATTATTTGTTTTCTTGATAATGGCCATTCTAACTGGGGTGAGGTGGAATCTCACTGTGGTTTTGATTTGTACTTCTTTTATGGCCAGAATTGTAGAACATTTCTTCATGTGTCTATTGGCCATTTTTATTTCCTCTCCAGATAAGTCTCTTTATAATTCTTTAGCCCACTCACTAATGGAGTGGTTGTTTCTTTGTGGGTTTGATTTTGGCGGGGCGGGGGGTTAATTTTTTGAGCTCTAGGTATATTTTTGATATGAGGCCCTTGTCTGTGTATAGCTAGTGAAGATCTTCTCCCATACTGTGGGCTTTCTGTTTATCTTGCTAGCTATGTCCTTTGCCATGCAGAAGCTCTGCAGTTTAATGTGATCCCATTTATCCAGCCTATCTTTAATTTGTTGTGATTCTGGATCTTTGTTTAGGAAGTTTTGGCCTGTGCCAAAGAGCCCTAGTGTTATCCCCTATCCCTTCCTGTAATAAAAAAGTCTTATTTTTGAACATCATTTTCTCATTTGTCATAAGAATTAGGAAAGTTATTTTTCATGGTAGTACAGAGAAGTTATAGTTCTGTGGTTATATACTCAGTTATTTGAACAGGTGGCTTCTTTTGGCCTTCTGTTCTCAGACCTTTGCTTTCAGATTGCCTCTTGCTATTAATGGGCTTTCTGTTTTCTCTACCTATACTTTTCTTGTCTTCCTTTCTCACTTTTTGGTTGTGTGATGACACAAAACTTCTTATGATTCTTTAAGGTTTTAGAAAACCATGAAATATTAAATGTTACAGCATTCTGCCTGACTTCCTAAAAATAACTTGTCTCTAAAGGTATATGTGAAAAACCCTGGTGAGTAATGGTAGTCTTAGTTGGACTTTTACTTGGATTTTATCCACAAGAATTAATAGCTGGTTGCCTTTTATAATTTGCAAATAATAACTACTTTTTACATTTTCTTTCTTCTTCTTAGACCTTTGAAGATTTTAAAAATGACAAGCAAGCTGTGGAATACCAGCAGCGAATTGTGGATATTTTGTTGAAAGTAAGCATTCAAAGATTACATATTTTAATGTTGATATTTATATTAAAAGAATTGAATTGTTTTATACCAGGTTCTAAAATAGTCTTGTTCAGTGATACAATTTATTGTAATCATACCTTAAAATTATATCATGACCTCTTGGTCCTCAAGAGGTGATTAAACAACAAATCATTTACTGAAAAAAATGTATATGAAGATATAGGGTCCTACACTTGAGAAATGTATATTGTGATAATTGCTACGTTAGTTTGATTATGTATAATAACAGAGACTAACTTCAGAATGCTCTGAGCAAATAATTTGAAGCATCTTTTCTCTCTTCCTAGCATCCCTTGGTTGCTATGGTAATGCCATGTTTTTCCATGGTATTCAGATGATGGGTGACACTGAAAATGATTTCAGGAACAGAGAGTTGATCACCCTGATCTAACTCTAACTAGCTCAGTCAAGAGCTATTTTGAGAATCTCCTTGTTCCTAATGAATGAATGCTGAGATAGATTCTTGTCCTTTACTTCTGTATGACTTTCAGCAGGCTTTTAGAGTTTTCATTTTGCTCATCTGGCTGTAAAATGAAGGTTACTTACATTTAATGACTTAGATTATTTTGGACAAGAGACTAGAATTAAAATGTTCTCTGGTTGTGCCTAGAGCCAATATAGCATATTTCCATTTGTGCTTTATAATTTTCAAAGCACTTTCACAGTATTTACATGATCTTATTTGAGTTGTTTATTAACTATAAGACAAGCAATGGTGCATATAAGAATGGGATTGCTACATTCTCAGATAATGCCAGTAAAATCTAAATTGTTATGGGGAATTTTACCTAGATTCCCCAAATATGCTTTCCAGAATGGCCTCCCTATTTCTGGTCTGCCTTTTCTCTAATATTCTTCACTTGAGATTAAGTGCTGCTGTGAGAGATAACTCAACATGACAACAATTTAAATATAATGGAAATTTATTTTTCTCATCTAAGACTAAGCAACCTGATCTAGTAAGATGGTATAAAAAACCTAGCAAGAATGCATCTTCTGTTTATTTTACTATTATACTTAGTAAATGATTTCTGTTTTTGTCTCAAGATGGCCACTCAGGCTCTAGCTATTACCTCCATGTTCTAGCCAGCCTCAATGCAGAGAGATAGAGAAGGAAATAGTTTCCCTCTGGCTTTGTTTCGGTCATGGGGCTTGAACTCTGGGTCTGGGCACTGTTGCTCAGCTCTTTAGCTCAAGCCTAGCATCCTACTACTTGAGCTATAGCACCACTTCCGGCCTTTTCTCCTTCTGTGGTGCAAAGGAATCGAACTCAGGACCTCATGCATGTAAGGCAAGCACTCTACCACTGAGCCACCTTCCCAGCCCAATGCTTTCCTTCTTTAACAAAACTTTTTGGACTCTATATACTATAGTTTTGCTTATCATACTATTCAGAACTCTTTGCTGCTGAGACAGATTGAGAAATAAAGTCTGCGTCTTGTGTAACCATATGTTTAGCTAAAAATTAGGATTTGTATTTGTAAGGTTAGGAAGCATTAAATGTTGGAGCATATATTAGTTTTTGTTTTTTTACTGTAAGAAAATATATAAGGCCAGTTACTTAACAGAAAAAAAGAGATTTACGTAGCTCACAGTTTGGGAGGCTAAAAGTTCACATTGGGCAGCACCATTTGTTTGGTCTCTGATGAGCACCAGAGTCCCTGGCTGTGTCACAACATGGTAGATGGTGTTATAGTATGAATGCATATGAAAGAGAGGAATCACATGGTGAGCCAGGAAGTCAGATAGATTCAGGGGTCTAGCTCACTATTTTTGTAATACCTCTTTTTCTTTTTTGTGCCAGTTCTGGGGCTTGAATTCAGAACCCTCTATCACACTTTTAAGTTGATTTGTTGCTCTTCAGTGTTCACAAAATGTTTTATGCTAGGCCAGTTGTAAATTGTTTACATATTTTCTTATTTGAACTAGGACTGAAGCTCCCTGCAGGTAGAGTGAGAATGATGATGACGATATCATACTTATTTATTTGAGGAAAACATTGTTATAGCATATCTAGAACAAGTTCAGCATGGTGCCTAGGACCTAGTAGATATTCAAGACATGTTTGTAAGCTGGTTAAATTGAAATTTGAGTATAAAATGATCCAAATGAAAAGATAAAGCTCTACAATTTACTCCACTATGAGTATTAGGGAAATGCCACTCATATATGCTTTGGTAATATTTGTTTTGGGTCAACAAGGAGTGTTTTTTTTTTTTTTTACTTTTTTCTCATTTCTGGATTCATTGATGTGTGCACTTTGGAGGGGGCAGTGGGAATAGGAGTGCAGGCAGAGGTCAGAGAACAGGAAAGTGGGCTTGTTGCATGTACTGAATAGGTGCAGACAGAGGGAAATATGTGTGGCTTTTTACAATATTGTCCAGGAAATTTTGTAAGCATAGTGGAATATTTAAAAGAGAAAATTGAGAAGTTATATAATGACAACCAATTTAGACACTTGTTGAGTTAGGAAAAGAACTATTTTCTTAAAGGGTATTGTCAGATGATTTAGGAGCCTGCACTTGCAGAGACAAAGGAATGGCTAAAGGCAAGAGGGACACTTGATGGGCCACAAAAGTGGAGTCCTATACACCGGTGGGGGTGATAATGGACATTTTTAAAGCTATTGACAGCTCTTTGACTATTCTGAACTGAAAGTGTGTGTGTATGTGGATGATGTAGATGTAAGTATAGATAGATTAGTAATCCTACCTTAGTCAATGATTTATTACACATGGTTTAGCAAATACAACGAAAAATAATTTTTAATACTCCAAAGAATTTCAGAAACAAAATTTTTAACTCTTGCAGTGCATTACATAGCTCAGTTGATGTGGAAAAACACTCTATCAACCTCATATCATCAGTTGTATTTAAATTATTTTGTGACCTGTTGTTTCCTTGCTCTTAATTTTATGAATATGCCTCCTCAAAAGCAATGGTGGTGCCCACAAGCAAGGTAAATATTAATGTGCTTAATTTAAGTGGTGAAATGAAAAATCTTAGATTAGTTGAAAGGTCACATGTTTTTAGCAGAAGCTGGGTGGAGTTATGGGGAAAATAAATCAAGCACCCACAGTATATCACTGCACTCTGCATCCTGAGCATATATGGGCTTTCCTTAATGACAGTCTCCTTGGAACCATATCTCCATGGATACCAAAGGTCTACTGCATATAACAAAACAGCCTATACTGTGGTAATAAATATATACTTTCACAAGTGTCTATTGCTGGACTAGAAGCAGAAAGATGAGAAAATAAAGGATAGATTACTAGCAAAATAAGAAAAGATGGGTCTAAAGGTAGGCTCTACAGGAATGTTTTATAATAGGACAAGTCTTACAATTTATGTTTGAATAGAAAATTGAGTAAAGGAGCCTGAGATTTTTTAATAGATATGCAAGGGTACTACACTCTAATTTGTAGTAAAGTTGTCTCACTTAATTCAACTAGCCCAAAACTCCGTCTCCTTGCCTTTGAAGTTTCTGAATTTCCTTTGTTAATGGTAGCACTGTGCCACCTGCCAATCATACTCAAAATTGATCCTTTTTTGGGGGGTGGGTGACAGGTCGGGTAATGGGGCCTGAACTCTGGGCCTGGGCGCTGTCCCTCAGCTCTTCAGCTCAAGACTAGCACTCTACCACTTGAGCCACAGCGCCACTTCCGGGTTTTTCTTTTCTGCTTATGTGGTGCTGAGGAATCCAACCCAGGGCCTCATGCATGCAAGGCACGCGCTCTACCACTGAGCCACCTTCCCAGCCCCCTGATCCTTTTTTTAAATTATGCCTTTAGTCTCATGTTTGCATGCATAGGAACACTTTGTCCTACCTCCTCTCTGCTTTTGTCCCTATTTCTCTTTCCATTTTCATACCACTGCCCTAGTTCTGAACACCTTTGTCCCTCCCTGGGACTCCTGTGCTCACTTGCATGTTAGCCCCCACTGCTTTCTTTTTCTTCTGTTATTCATGCCTATGTACAGATAGGTAATCCTTATGGGCATTATTCTGATTAGGATCCCTTCTTTAGCAGCTTCAATCCACATTCCTTAGGTTGACATTTGAGGCCTGATCTCTTTTGGTCTTATTTTTCCCTCCTGCAGAATCCTAATGAAACTTTCAGTTTCCCTAACAAACATCAGTTTTCCTGTATCCCTATCTTTGCTTACTCCTCTCTTTGATAACTTTTCCTTTGGCAAGGGGTCTGATGAGCTTTAAAGCTTAACTTAAAAGTGATTTTTCTCAGTTCTTTGCAAATTCTCACTCTAATGGTTGAACTACTTTTTTTCATTGTGCTTCTATAATTATTTGCACCCTAAATAGTATGATCATGTTATGCCTATTATTTAAGAGAGTTTATTTATCTTGCCTTCCTTTCTAGTTCATTATTCCCTTAGAGGCACTGGCCAGAATGCCTGGTGACTTGGGAGATCAGAGCTGAGATAAAGCAGAACAATGACTGAGATTTACTGATATGAACCCACCCACTCCCCATCTGCCTGTGGACTAGGCAGAAGCTGTTCACTTCATTAAGGTTGCTACAGTGACTTCTTTTCAGGAAATCTCTACTCACAGGTTATCTTAACACTTAGACTACAGAGTAGCTCTCTTCTTTCCTTGTTCATAGGAATCTTTTTTTTCCCCAGTCCCATGACTTGGGCCTGGTGGCTGTCCCTGAGCTCTTTCGCTCAAGGCTAGCATTCTACCCTTTTGAGCCACAGTACCACTTCCCATTTTCTGGAGGTTAATTGGAGATAAGAGGCTTACAGACTTTCCTGCCTGAGTTGGCTTTGAACCTTGATCCTCGGATCTCAGCCTCCTGAGTATCTAGGATTGTAAGCATGAGCCACTGGCACCCAGCTCAAAAGAACATTTTTAAGTAGGGTTATTTTAATTTAATTTAATTTTAGTAGAATCCTAAGAATTCTGGAGAGAAACATGATTAATATTTCTTTGAAACCTCATATCCCCCTCTCCTATGATTCACTTCTCTTCCAGGTTGTGCCAGAAAGCTGCCAAAACCACTAAAATTTTTTCATTTCAGAATATGCAAGTAATTGCTCCTTCTCCAAATATTACTGAACATAGTTTTTGCAAAGTCCATACAAGAATCTTTTCTCAGTCTTCAGTAATATGGTTCACTTCTAATTGTGTATATTTTTTCTTTTCCACCAAACCAGATGGCATATTGAATAAATGGTCTCTTGTCTTCCAGGTTATGGTGGAGAATTCAGATTTCACTCCCTCACAAGTAGGATGTCTCTTTACTTTCCTGGCACGGCAGCTTGCAAAGCCTGACAATACCTTGTTTGTGAACAGAACCCTCTTTGATCAGGTGAAAGTCTTTAACAACAAGACTAGAACTGTTTTTCCTGTTAACTGCTCATAAAATATTCACTGTTTCTTAATATGACCAACCATTGGATAAGCACTTTATTGGGGAGAGGACTATAGAGATCTTTAATCTGAGTTAAGCATGTGTATTTTAAAGATGTGTTCTGAGTAATAGTATAATAATATATTCTGAATGATTCTGACACTTGGTATCATGAAGTATCATTTGAGAGACTGATTTATAGAGATTCTGCCCTATAAATTCAGTTGCTTTAAATTGCTTAAACTTTCTTTGCTCAAGAATTTTCTAAGTTAAGAACCACCTCATCTCACTGGTAGTAAGATCATAGTGACAATCATCTGGAGAAGAGAGTACGTTTGGAAAATTTCAATTTACTTACAAATGATTTCTGACTTGGAAAGTGTTTCCTGGTCACAATTAAACATTGCTCTAGATGACAAAGAAAATGCTTTTTTCCTGAAGAAAGCAGCCAATAATGACTAGTATTTACTGAGCACTTCATAGTGCTAAGCTCTGCTGCCAAGTTTTATATGTGTGTATTGTCAGTCCTCCAACAATTCTAGAGTGATACAGTTCCCCATTTTAAAATGATGCCTAGAGAAGTTAAGCAACTTATTTAAAGTAATACTTAGCAAGCTTCATTTTTCACAGGAATTTATTATTTTGTGTTACTAAAGTTAGGATTCACATTCAGGCATCATGAGTACAAAGTCAGTGCTCAATCCATAGCCTTAGAGAATTAAAAGTTAAGGAATATAGATGATACTACCTTATGGCATTATCAGAAAAGGTCAGCACAGCTACATATTCAGCTGAATTCCTGAACAGTAAAGAAATATGTATAAAAAGCACACATTACACTGTTAGCATATGGGAGCCTGATGTCTCACATAGCAGGACAGTCAGTTGGGATGGTACCATACACTATGATATTTGTTACAGCTTAATGAGGAATCCTCACATTGGAAGGGTAGTCATTGCTGTTTCCATCCCAACAGTGTTAGGGCATGCTTGCTGATATACAATAAAGGTGATCTTTTTTTTTGACCAGGTTCTTGAATTCCTCTGTAGTCCTGATGATGACTCCAGGCACTCTGAGAGACAGCAGGTAAGAACTGCTAGAATTCTTTGCTAAAGAATGAGAAAGAAGTCAGATCTCACTAGACATACCTACAGGGAAAATAACTCATTTCAAACCCTAATTCTAAGCTAAAGATTGTGGCAACTGGGAAATCGTGTTGATGGAAGAGTTCCAGTGGAAAGATCTTACATCAGAATAAATTCTTAGGCACAGTGGGCCTGTCTGTATCCAGCATGACTCCAAAGAGAATAATTTATCTTCCTGTTAGGTAGCAAAAGGTAGCATCTGTTGTACCACCAGTGTCATTCATCTGACCATTGCTAGCTGCTCTGGCCCTGAACCAGAAACACTGCTATAAAAGTTGGCACACACAATTTTTATGAGAGTTCTGAGGCCCCACTGCATTAGGATTCCCTTCTGAAGACTTGACCCCATCTGCTCCTCCTGTGATCACTGTAAGATGGTAACTGGTTCCCACTCCTTTGTATTTATGCCACTTTCTTGAGGAGCACATCTACTATTAGAATCTTTTAGATGCAAATGAGGACTGATGGTATATGCCTGTAATCAAGCCCTGATGAAGCAGAATCAGAAAGATTGCAAGTTCTAGGCCAGCCTGGGATACATAGTGAAAACATGCCTTTAAAAAGCAAAATGATGGCTGACCTTCTTAGCTAGAACATAGCTCAATAAGTTGAGCTCATAGAGTATAGAGGAGCCACACTGACTACTTTGCACTGCTTTAGCCCAGAAACTGCTGCAGAATATCACAGGACAGCAAACAGTCTTATAATTGTGGCTGTCTCTTAAATTATATTGGATACAAATAATAATAGAAGACCCCCTTATTTGGCAGTAAGAGTGGATCATGTGTATAACCATATATAGTGATAGAAACTAATAAATAATGAATAAGTAACTAACTAATAAACAGATAAATTAACAAGAAACAAAGCCAAATCTAAATATAAAAACAATCACAGAATCTTAATATTATAGAATATCTGCTCTCTTTACATTTTAGAAATATAGAAAATTGATGCATTAAGTTGTTAAAGGACAAACCTAAATCCTTCTATTCTAATGCAACACTTATTCCTTTATGTCATTGCTACATATAAAAAAAATTGTCTTACTGAGAAGTCATTAATAGCTGAGTTCCTATGTTAGTGGTTGTTTTCATTTATGTAAACGAACAGAAGAAAGTACAACACATATGTCAGAACCTTACTCCTTCCTCTGAAGGAATGATTTCTCTGCTGAATCAGATAACAGCTTTTGAATGCTGGGAAAATAAATCCACAATTTGTTTCACAATGTAATACATAATGCAGAGACAGACACTTTTAAATTCAGTTACCCTATTGTTATTTTTTCTGTTTTCCATCCCAGGATTATTAAATTTTCTCTATAAAGGTACCAAAGAAAAAATATTTTAGGGTTTGTGGCCATGTATAGTCTCTATGTTATTTTTATTTATTTGTTTAGCTTTACAACCCTTTAAAAAGATGGCATCTTTTAAAAGCACCTTGCTGATTTGTAGCATCTGCTAATTCCCATAATATAAGTACTCCCATCACAGTTGATCTAACCTACCAGTGTGTTGTCACTGGATGCAGAACGGGAAGATGCACAGCAGGACAGGTGTAAGATACTTCCATCACTCAGGTGCTGCCACAGTGGATAGAAATGACCTTGAGATATGTATGAGTCAAATATAACCAAGTAATTAGGAAATGGTGAGTTTGAATATTAATCACCTTTGTTTTAAATTTGTTTAACCATAAGCTAATACAACTGTCAATCTTCAATAATTGCTATCCTTAATAACTGGCTTACAAAGTCCCTGAAAGTTTAGCCATCTGCTCTAGTATTTGGTAAGATTGACTCCAATCATGGCATTCCTATTATTTTATTCCAAACTGACAGGGCAGTTAGGATTCACTCTACATTTATTGTATTTAACAGTTCATTTTAATGATCAACATGAATTAAATTTGGGTACCAAAATATAAAATTTGGAGAGGTTTTAACCAATTTAACAGCAATACTCACAAGACAATATGTTGGAAGTAAACGTTACACCTGGGGGAGGGGGAAAGTAGGAGAAAAATTAGGGAGAAGGTAACAATGTTCAATAAGAAATGTACTCACTACCTTACGTATGTAACTATAACCCCTCTGTACATCACTTTGACAATAAAATTAAATTAAAAATAATAGATTTACTGTTTTAGAAAAGCACTTTGTTAAATAGTTTCCTGGAGTCCTGGGACTCCCTGGTTTCCAGGGTCTTGGGACCCTGGATGGAAGCTTTACATGGGACCACTTTCTTTCTCACACTGATCTAATAACTGTGCCATGCCTCTGTAGTGTTTTCTGAGGTTTACTTAAAAGTATTGATGAATCCAGCTCAATATTCTACTCATATTTTTTGTTCAGCTAGCATGATAAATAATTAACTATATGAGTGTCATATTTTGGGTTTTTTTGTTGTAAAAATAAGTTATCTTAAGTGTGTAATGCAGTGACATTAAGTATGCTCCCACTGTTGTACAGTCATCATCACCACATCTTCAGATCATCCACCTTCCTCAACTGAACCTCCATTTACATTAAACAAATAGCAACAACTCCTAGTTTCCCTTTCTCCAACCCTTGGCCACCATTGTTCTGCTTTCTGTTTCTATTTTCCTGTCCAACATAGCTCAAAAAAGTGCAATCATAGCTGGGCGCCGGTGGCTCACGCCTGTAATCCTAGCTACTCAGGAGGCTGAGATCTGAGGATCATGGTTCAAAGCCAGCCCAGGCAGGAAAGTCCGTGAAACTCTTATCTCCAATAAACCACTAGAAAACCAGAAGTGGCACTGTAGCTCAAGTGGTAGAGCGCTCGCCTTGAGCTAAAGAGCTAAGGGACAGCACTCAGGCCCAGAGTTCAAGCCCCACAACCAAAAAAAAAGGGCAATCATATGGTATTTGGCCTTTTGTGTTTGATTTGATTTTACTTAGCATAGTACTTTTTTTTTTTTTTTTTTGGTCATGGGACTTGAACTCTGGGCCTAGGTGCTGTCCCTCAGCTCTTCAGCTCAAGGCTAGCTATCTCCTGAGTAGATATGATTACAGACATGAGCTAAAGTATTTTTCCTTTTTTTTTTTTTTTTGCCAGTCCTGGGGCTTGAACTCAGGGCCTGCGCACTGCCCCTGAGCTTTTTCTGCTCAAGGCTAGCACTCTACCACCTGAGCCACAGTGCCACTTCCACCTTTTCTCTTTATGTGGTACTGAGGAATTGAACCCAGGTCTTAATGCATGCTAGGCAAGCACTCTACCATTAAGCCACATTCCCAGCCCTTAGCATAGTATCTTTAAGGTTCATTTGTGTTGTAGCATGTGTGTGTGTTTCACATTTCGGGTGTCCATTCATTCTTGGGCTTGTTTCCACTTTTTAGGTATTTTGAATGCTGCTGCTCTGAAATATCCCAATGTTTAAATTTTTATTAGTTTTAGCATGTAAACATAGATACTACCTATGGACAATAGATTTTTTTTTAACCCGAAGATAAAGAAGTACCAAACAAAACCTCATTTCTTGAAAAGATATATGCAGTCATTTTCAACTCGAAAGGGGTGGATAATCAGTTCTGCATTCTAATAGGACCATATTTGCAAATACTGTGACATTCCTTCCATGTTTGAAAAGCAGAGCCATCTGTCTTTTTTTTTTATAAGAGTTAAATACAATATGGTCAACAGTATAATAATCTAACCCCTTGCATCTGTGAAAGCAAGCCAAAATACCACTGAGTAAGAATATAAAAGAAAAGTAAGTTATGGTCTGCATGAACCCTTATAGAGCTAGCAAATAAAAATAAATTCCCCAGTGTTTTCATTATTTGTTTTATGTGTTCAGGTCCTTTTAGAATTGCTGCAGGCTGGAGGCATAGTTCAATTTGAAGAGAGCCGACTCATCCGCATGGCAGAAAAAGCTGAGTTGTAAGTTGTTTTGAATCTGTATATTTGTTGTCCATAGAACTATTAAATTGCATTTCCCTAAATTGAAGCCCACTTTACTGATGTACTGCTGCTTTCTAAAATTAAGAAACACTATGCAGATAACAACAAAAATCTAAATGTCAAAGCTTTTACTTTTCATTTGAATTCTAGAATTGGTAAAGTTTCCAGAAATTGATGGTATCAATTTGAAATGTTTGTAGATTAGTTTTAATATGAAAATGAAATTTTAATCTTACAATATTGCAGTATTTTCATTTTTTTTTTCTGGTGTTTTGAAACAGGGTCTTAGTATGAGCCCAAACTGGCCTTGAACTTGGAATCCTTCTGCCTCTGCCTCTTAAATGCTAGAATACAGGCATGGACCAACACACTTGGTTTTAGATTTTTTTTTTTTGTGAGTCGTCGGACTTGAACTCAGGGTCTACGTGAACAGTCCCTGAGATTTTTTTGCTCAAGACTAGCACACTACAACTTTGAGCCATAGCTCTACTTCCAGTTTCCTGCCCAGGCTGGCTTTGAATCACAATCCTCAGATCTCAGCTTCCTGAGTAGCTAGGATTACAGGCAGGAGCTACCAGCACCTGGCTAAGATTTTTTTTTAACTTTTTATTTCCATGATAGTTCATGGATTTTTGATAATTATGTATATAAGACAAGGTTTGACATAGCAAATAAGATATGATATGGTAATGCTGCTATGTATCTAAGTTTATTGAATGTTTTGAGATACTAATTTTGAACAGAGAAACAATATAAAAATTTGCAAAATACTGTTACCTTATTGATCATTTCTTATATCACACTGTTTTCTTAACATTTTTGTACCTATCTTCATCTTTTTTTGTACACATTATATTCAATAGAATCTTAAACCTACAATTAGGGGCATGGCAGGTGGATGCTCACTTCCTTAACTACTTAGTACAGGTTCAGTATCCTTTATCTGGAATGTTTGCAGTTGAAGAGTTTCAGGTTTCAGAATTTTTCACAGTTTGAATTTTTTTTTTTATATTTCTTACTGGCTGAGCATCCCTAACGTGATCATCAGAATCTGAACTGTTCCAGTATCCCAACATCACTCACATTAGACACACACAATCTATGCAACTGTGTAACAACAGAAATCATATCACTCATTTCTTGCAGTATTAACCTGTATGATTGAGCAATATGAAAGCCAACAACCACCTGCCCAATGGGTGCACTGAAATTCTTCCTTTTGTGTTCTAGCTATCAAATTTGTGAATTTATGTATGAACGTGAACACCAATATGACAAAATTATTGATTGCTACTTGCGTGACCCATTGAGAGAGGTAAGTAAAAGACTGTTTACTTTCTTTACATAATCAGCTCCCCTCACCCCAGCAACAGAAATGTTTGTTGATCCAAGGTTTTCTCTACTTATTCACTAAATTTTTATTGTGCTCCTACTGTAAGACAATTCTATATTGATAACTAAAAGATATAGTTCCTGATTCTTTGGAATTTATAAGTTAGTGTTAGAGACTGACAATAAGCGAAGCCAAGTACATACTTAAAATTGTAGTAAGTGCTATGGAATAGAGTTGGGTGAACATTGAAGGATAATGGGGACTGAATTATAACAGCACAGCCAGAGAAGGAATCTCAGCCAAACCACTTATAGATTGGGTTTTGCTCCTTGAGAAGCCACTCAAACAAGCAGCCAAAGGAAGGCTGTTCCAGGATAAGGAACAGTATATGCAAAGGTCCTACGATGAAGGAAATTGGCCCTTTTAAGCAACTGAGTAGTGATTGTATAGATGAAATGAAAATTAGTTTAGGTAGAGATTGGGAATTTGGAAGGGACCACCAAAAGCCGAAGTATGATATCCTCCACTAAGTGGTCATTGAAAGTTAGTAAATTGAAACCAGTTAATTGGAATAGGTTTGTTACTTCTAATAATCTAAGTAATTATTCTGTTCAGTTTTCCATTGATTAATTATATCTAAATAATTTCCATCTTCAAGCAATAACTATTTCCCAAGATCTATACATAGCAGCAGACTCAATATTGCTCAGTGAGTTAATGGATACCTTCTCTCGTGCTCTCCAGGAAGAAGTCTTTAATTACATTCACAACATCTTGTCCATTCCTGGCCACAGCGCTGAGGAGAAGCAGTCTGTGTGGAAGAAAGCAATGGATCATATTGAGGTACTCACTCAACAAACCATTTTAAACTTTCCCATTTGAATGGATGCCTTCCAAATTAACTTTATGCAAATTAAGCAGTGGCAACTATTAATTATGTAGGTTAACTTGAGGTTACAGGGAGTTTTTGTTGTTGTTGTTTTTCACATAAGATTGTATGTGCCAGCCAGGAGCTGGTGGCCTACGCCTATAATACTAGCTAGTCAGGAGGCTGAGATCATGGTTCAAAGCCAGCCTGGGCAGGAAAGTCCATGAGACTCTTATCTTCAATTAACTACCAGAAAACCAGAAGAGGCACTGTGGCTCAAATGGTAAAGTGCTAGCCTTGAGCAAAAGAGCTCAGGGACAACCCAGGCCCTGAGTTCAAACCCCACCACCAACAACAAAAAAAAAAGACTGTGTGCCAACATCATGTTAGGTGAAATTATCAGGGTGAGAGTTGGCACAGTCAGTCAGGAGATGTGTGGTCCCCAATGGTCACTATACTTTGGTATGGGTCTCAGGGCACAACACACATTATTTATTACTGTCTGCTTCCTGTCAACAACAGCATGAATGCATCTTTGTGAAAAATCCCAATGAGAGTTCCTTCAGCTTTGAATTTTACCTTTTTCTTTTCTTCACTCATTGTGACGTCCTTTTCATAAATCTCTTCAGGTTTGTAGTGTCACATTATGCTACATTCTGCTTTTGCACTCATCTGTATTATGCCATGGTCTGCACACATGGACTCCAGATATCAAAAAAAAGAAGCTGTGTCTCTGCATAATGTGAAACGTGATGAATTAATCAATGAGCAGACAAATTACTCAGCAGACAGCTCATGCTGGAGAAGCAAGAAATGCTTCTGCTGACTCTTTTTTCCCCACTTCTGCAGTTTCTCACCTTCAACCTTTTAATATCTAAGGCCATGATTACACTTAAATGGAGTTTTCATTAAATGACTTCTGGGTCTTCATTAATGTAAATACAATCAAAAACACAGAGAACAAAGTTATGATGAAATTTTTTGACAATACACACAGCCTAAAGTTAATGATTCTTAGCACTTTGGGAGTTCTAGACCTTTCTGACTATCTAATGAAAGACTGGATCTATGTCTCTTAATATTACACATGGGCTTAAAAATATTCTTTTATTTGTAGTTTCAGGAATCCACAAACACCTAAAATCTACTCCTAGATTGAGTCTGAGCTCTCCTGACAAATTATCTCTGGCTTAAATGTTTATTTCAGTATGAATAAAACTTATTTGAATAGATTCTTAAATATTTTTAAATATTAAAAGTTCAGAACTGGGTGCAGTGGCTCATGTCTGTAATCCTAGCTACTTGGGAGGTAGAGATTGGGAGAATCATGTTTTGATATTAGCCAGGAAAGAAAAGTTCGTAAGACCTCACCTCAACTAATAAAAACAAATCTGAGTGTCCCTGTCATTCTAGCTACTCAAGAAACATAAATAAGATTGTGGTTCAGCTGATCAGGATATAATACAAGTCTCTATTCAAAAGAAACTAAAGCAAAAAGGATTAGGAGCATAGCTCACATGGTGTATAGTATCTGTCTGGCAAGCCCAGATCCTGAGTTGACATCTCAGTACCACCACCAACAAAATGTCAGAGAAGGGCTAAATCAAATATACAGTTTAATTTAAAAAAAATTATAAAGCATCCGGGTGCCAGTGGCTTATGCCTTAGCTTCTCAAGAGGTTAAGATCTAAGGATCCTAGTTTGAAGCCAGCTTGGGCAGGAAAGTTTTGAGACTCTTCTCTCTGGCTAACTACCAAAAAGCTAGAAATGGAGCTGTGTCTCAAGTGATAGAGTACTAGCCTTGTGTAAAAAAGCTCAGGGAGAACACCCAGATCCTGAGTTCAAGCTCCACAACCAACAAAATAAATTAATTCATTAAAAAAATTTTAAATTTATGGTAAATAATGCTGCAGTAAACATAGTTGTGGAACCAACCCAGATGCCCCTCAGTAGATGAATGGATCAAAAAAATCTGATATATATACACAATAGAATTCTATGCCTCCATCAGAAAGAATGACATTGACCCATTTGTTAGGAAATAGAAAGACTTGCAAAAAATTATATTAAGTGAAGTAAGCCAGGCCCAAAGAAAGATAGGTCCTATGGTTTCCCTTAATTGCAATAACTAGTATATGTCTGAGACAAGCAGAAAAGGTTAGGTAAGTTGATGTTAGTTGAAATGAACCCCAAGATAAGTATTCAAATTTTTTTTCTTTCTTGTGATTGTTTCTAACATATTTATAAGATGATTTCTTTGTTGCTTTGTATGTCCCTCCCCCACCGTATAACCCTTGCTTTCATTGTATTTGATGATGGTATAATTTGTGGAGGGGAAGGGCAAAAACAAACCGTTTAAATAGGGATATAAGTGGACCCATTGCAACAATGAGATGTACAAGTCATGTTGAAAAATGAACTTTACAACTTTGGCCGGGGGGGTGGGGGGTGGGAAGGGATGGGAAGGGGAAACAAAGGAGGAGGCAACAATGCTTGATAAGAAATGTATTCATTATCTTGCCCATGTAATTGTAACCCCTCTTTACGGTATTTTCACAATAAAAAGTTTAAAATTTAAAAGAGTTTGACAGGCACATCATAAAAGAGGAAATCTAAATGGCCATGAACATATGAAAGCACACGCACACACACACACACACACACACACACACACACACACACACACACAAATTAATAAGGCAAACCTTCTTGGCTCTGATTGAGAATAAAATATATCTAGTGTCCCAGACTTTTCCTATGTGTCCTTTCTTGAGCACAAACCCTGACCTCTCCCCTACAAATACAAATATACCCATCACTCCCTTTCCTACTGTATGTAATTACTGTATCCTCCCTACATTTGTTTTTGTTTTGCCTATTTCTGAACTTTACTTAAATGAAATTACTCTCTGTATTTTTATATGTGCATCCAGACCCTAGCCACCTACATTTCTTTAGAACAGTAGTTCTAGGTCTAGGTTCAGCCAAGAACCTGATAGAAATGCAGTTTCAGTCTCATTTTAGACCTTCCTGATCAGAAACAGGAGGTGGGTCCCAGGAATGTGTGTTCTCACAGCTCTGCAAGCCATGCTGATGCTTGATAACTGACAATCTCTGCTCTCAGGTATATAATTTCTAATTAATGGCATTGTATGAAGCCAGCATTTATGAGAGAACTCGTTTTGACTACATCCTTGCTAAGTTTGAAGACTTTGCAAAATCTGGAAAACTGGTAATAGTATCTCATTATGTTTTAAATTTATATTTCTTAATTATTAATAAGATTCATGGGCTTTTCATATGTTCATGGCCATTTAGATTTCTTCTTTTATGATGTGCCTGTCAACCTCTTTTAAATTTTAAATTTTTTAATGAATTAATTTATTTTGTTGGTTGTGGAGCTTGAACTCAGGGCCTGGGTGCTGTTCCTGAGCATTTTTGCTCAAGACTCTACCACTTTGAGCCAAGCACCACTTCCAGTTTTCTGGTGGTTAATAGGAGATGAGTCTCACGGACTTTCCTACACAGGCTGGCTTTGAACTGTGATCCTCAGTTCTCAGCCTCCTGAGTAGCTAGGATTAAAGGACTGGCCCATTTAAATTTGTTTTTATTATCTTTAGTTTGCACAAAGGGGTTTTAATTCAACATATTGACTTATGAATGCAACACATTTTGAACAATGTCAATTGTTCTTCCCTTTTAGCCAATTTTTATTAATATTCTTCATTCCTTCTGATCTGTAGGATTTCTGTGTTTTGTGTATGTCAGTCTTTTCATCAGAGATATGTGTGGCAAATAACTTCTACTCGGTAGCTTTTTCCTCCAAACTTTTTATCGTTCTTACTTTAGAAAAGTAACTTGTTTCCCCTCCATACTTAAGAAGATATCCTTTATCATCATCTAAATGGTTTCTTGTGTTTTAAACCTTTATTGTTGGGGCTGGGAATCAAGCCCAGGGCCTCAAAGATGCTAAGCTGATACTTTGCCTCCGAGATATTCTCCCAGCCTTTGGTCTTTGTTTTATAACCCATAAATGTGAGAACCATCTAAAAGCATTTTTGAATATGATCTAAAACCATGGTTAAGTTTTTAGATGCATGTATGCACTATTTGCAACTGTTATTTAAAGGCTGTTTTTCTACCTTGCACCATAGTCCTCCCATGGTCAGAAATACATCAAGGCTCTCTGTGCTATTTTTCTGGGGCCCCCCTTTTTTTTTAAGGTTTGAAACTGGGACTCAGGCTTGGTACCTGCTGCTTTCTCTCATTGGCTAGAGCGCTACAAACTGAGCTATGCCTGAGCCTTCCCTTTTATTGGCCTGTTTGTCTATCTCTGTATCAAGACTACGCTGTCTTTAATATTGTTGCTATGTAATATGTTTTGACATCTTTTAACAGAGTTATGGCTTTTTTGCATACTTTATATCTTACTAATATACTTTAGAATCAGCTTATGAACTACCAAAAATAAAACAAAACAATTTTTTTTTTTTGCATGTGTATCCAGTGCTTGGGGCTTGGACTCAGGGCTAGCACTCTACCATTTGTGCCACAGCTCCACTTCTGGCTTTTTTGGTAGTTTAGTGGAGATAAGAATCTTAGTGGGTGCAAGTGGCTCATCCCTGTAATCCTAGCTACTCAAAAGGTTGAGATCTGATTATTGTGATTTGAAGCCAGCCAAGGCAGGAGAGTCTGTGAGACTCTTTATCTCCAATAAATTACTCAGAAAAAGGTGGAAGTGGCGCTGTGGCTCATGTAGTAGAGTGTTAGCCTTGAGCAAAAGAAGCTCAGAGTCAGTGCCCAGGCCCAGAGTTCAAACCCCAGGACTAGCTTGAGCCTTACATACCTGGGCTGGCTTTGAACTGTGACCCTCACATCTCAGCCTCCTGATTAGCTAGGATTACAGGCATAAGCCACTGGCACCTGACAGAATCTTAATTTTGATTCTGATAGGCATTGTGTCAAATCTTTACACCATTTTAAAGATAGTAAGCTTTTAAAATGGAGTATTCCAGTTTATGACTGTATGTTATAATCATTTATTCAGTATCATTCTGTAAAGTTGTATGGGTTTTTTTGTAGTTTTTCCATTTTATGGTAGATTTGTTGTCACAACTTTACATTATTTAATATTACTGTTAATGTGTGTCAGTATGTGTGTAAGTCTTGTAACTTGAACTGAGAACCTAAATACTGTCCCTGAGTTTTTTAGCTCAAGTCTAGTGCCCTACTATTTGAGCCACTTCTAGCGTGCGCGCACGCACGCGTGCACATGCGTGTGTGTGTGTGTGTGTGTGTTTAATGGAGATAAGTGCCTCTGGACTTTTTCCTCTCTGGGTTAGCTTTGAACTGTGATTCCCCAGATCTCCACCTCCTGAGTAGGTAGGATTACAGGTGTGAGCCACCAGTGCCTGACATGTTGATGTTATTAAATTTTTTTTCCAACTGATGTTTACTGATGTTTGCTGTTAAGGATTTTTATGGAAATTGTCTTCTGTTTTGTATGTTAAAAGGATTCCTCATGAATGAATTTTTAATTTTTTCACTGTTCTCTATTGCTTTTTTATTGTAAATTCTTTTTTTTGGTGGGAGGGGGGTCTGGTCGTGGGGCCTGAACTCTGGGCCTGGGTGCTGTCCTTCAGCTCTTCAGCTCAAGGCTAGCACTCTACCACTTGAGCCACAGCACCACTTCCGGCTTTTTTCTTTTTGCTTATGTGGTGCTGAGGAACCGAACCCAGGGCCTCAGGCATGCAAGGCAAGCGCTCTACCACTGAGCCACTTTCCCAGCCCTCTATGGTAAATTCTATTGCTATACAACCAACTTTGAGTTCTACAGATATAAGCAGCTTGATCCTAATATACTGTTTTTATGTATTATTGGATTTCATTTTTAAGACTTATTTGTATCAATATTCATGGTCCAAATCAATATGTGGTTTTCCTCTCCTAGAGATTTATCCTGTTTTCAGTTTTCAGAATGTTGCTTGCCTATTTTCTACAAGTAGTTAGCTGATGTTGCAAATATTCATTCCTTAGTTGCTTATTATGACTTACCAGTGAGTTTATGGACTGATTTTCCACTACTCATTCAGTAGCTTTTCTCTTCTACCTTCCTTTCTTTTGTCCCTCCCTCTTTCCCTTTTTTCTTCCCTCTCTTCATTCCTTCTTTCCTTCTTTTTTTTTTTTTTTGGTAACAGAATTTTGCTATGTTGCCCAAGTTGACCTTAAACTCTTAGACTTGTGCAGTTCTACTTCCTCCAAATAACTGTGACTACAGACACCTACCACCATACCCAGCAAGTGTGTGTGTGTGTGTGTGTATGTGTGTGTTTCCCTGGGGATCAAACCCAGGGATTTTTGCATGTTAGGCAAGTGCTCTGCACAGACCCACATCCCTAATCCATCAGTGCCTTTAATGGTTGAAAAATACATTCATTATTTTTGTTTCTTCTTAAGTTAATTTATTATGCTCTAAAGAACTTACATGTTTCTAAATTTTTTTTTTTTTTTGGTCGGCCGTGGGGCTTGAACTCTGGGCCTGCGCGCTGTCCCTCAGCTCTTCAGCTCAAGGCGAGCGCTCTACCACTTGAGCTACAGTGCCACTTCCGGTTTTCTGGTGGTTTATTGGAAATAGGAGTCTCACGGTCTCTCCTGCCCGGGCTGGCTTTGAACCTCGATCCTCAGATCTCAGCCTCCTGAGTAGCAAGAATAAAGGTGTGAGCCACCAGCGCCCGGCTGTTTCTAAATTTTTAAACTTAGAATAAATTAATTTCTAGCAATTTCTTTTTAATGTCTGCAGATTAGTAGTGATATTCCCTATTTTTATTTGTGAAATAGACTACTCGCACCCTTTCTCTTTTGATATGTATTAAAGTATTATAGTAGGATCTACAAATGCTACCCAACACAACAATTATTAACGTATCATGAAACTTTGCAATAACTTATATGAACTTTACTAGCTAACATACTGTGCTGTTGTTATACATTTAGTCTTTGCATTTAGCCAAGTATCTAAGCTATGTTGGTCAGTGTTCCCACAAAGAAGGTATAATGGAAAAGGTTAAAGGCAATGTGACAGTGTCCAATGTAATAGTTTCAAGGAGAAAACTGAAGCTAGTAGTGTCAAGGAGAGTTTGAAAAACCACATGGAAATCTTAGACTTGCCAGAAGCAGACTTAGTAATAGCAATTAATGAACAATGGTTTATGTTTGAGTCTCCTTTATGACTTAGGATCTTACATTGATTTCCTCAGACATTTCCAGTTCTGTAGGCACCAGAAAAAAAGTTTTATAATAATTAGCTAGAGAAATGACAGCTATATTCTTCCTTTTATTTTTTTTAATAGTTCAGGGGTGAAATGCATCACAGGAAATTTGAAAAGCCTTTGTCCCTTCTATTTTTAATCATAGCCAGAATCCAGAGTTTTCTAGTCTTTTCATTTTCTAAGAATTCTGAATTGCTTTTTAAAATCTAATTCTGATTTTTATTATGTGGCATATTCCTAATTTTGTTCATTTGCAACATGTTTCTTAAATTGAGGTGCCACTTGTCCAGTCTCTTGGAATGCCTGGTGCACGCTTGTAACAGTACTGAACTAGGTAGTCACGCCTTACATCCATGGATACCCCATCTAAATGCACATTACAAATGGCTTTGTCTTTCCCTTAACTTCAGGAACTTGTGGCTCTGAAGCCCTGTAAGGCTGCAGATTTGATTGCGACCCACTTTTCTGCACAGATTGAAACCGTCATTCAAAAACTTCAGGTAAATATTGTTGTCATATATTGAGGGAGAAAAATATCCAGTGGAAAACAATAACTGAATCTTCAACTAAGAACTTTTTATAGTAGTAATTTATTAAGTTGATAGTAGCTACTTAATAGTAATGTCTACATTATATACAAGCATGTATGTGTATGTGTGTATATATTATTTAGGAATAGTATTGTTAAGAGCTCTGAGTCTTAAAATGAGGGAGTTCATCTTTGATATAACAAATATTAATATCAAACAAACACCTCTAAAACTATAACCTGTGTTTATTCTAGGAATCATAATTCACACATGATCCTCTTTTCCCTCTATATGCCACAGAACCCATAGCTGGATTTTCTTGGCACTCATCATGTTCCTATGTTGCTTACTTAGAACTTTGTTATCTTCATGCTGACTTTATATGTGTGTGTGCATGCATGTGCGTGTGTGTATATGTGTGTGTATAAAATCTTACCTAGAATATAGTTACATATTGAATATTGAGAAGCTCGGTAGAAGTATCTCTAATAGGTCTAATATTTTTCTTATCATTTTGTCAGTTGCTATGGCAATGGAACCAAAAATGGTCACAAGATAGACGTGGGGAATAAGAAAATGATGGGGACACAAGACACAAACAACCCAGTGTCTTGAAATAGCAAAAATAGTGTAAAACATGGAAAACAGAATAGTGAGTTGAAAGATGTGAGGACAAAGATAGAGAATTAATTCATTTAAGTACTCATTGTAACACTCCTTTGTACCATAGTGTACTAGATCCTGAAAACACAGATGAGAATATAAGCTGAGCACAGTGCCACATTACTGTAATCCTAGCTATGCAAAAAGTAGAGATGAAAGGATCATGTTCATGGACAAGCCCAGGAAAAAAGTTAACAAGACTCATTTCCAAAAACAAAATGGGTGTGGTGGTTCACACTCCTGCAATCTCAGCTACACAAGAGAAGGCAGAAGGAAGATCATGGTTGAAGGGCAGCCCTGAGTAATAGGAAGACACTATCTGAAAAATAGCTGAAGCAACAATAGCCAGTTAGTAAGTGCTTTCTTAGCTGGTATAAGGGCCCTGAATTCAAACTCTGTACATGTGATTAAGTAAACACAAATAAATAACAGAAATATTAACTTTTCCATTATTTTTTTCCTATGGAACAGAGGAGCATTTATATAACTATAGTATGACGTTTTAAGAGACACCCTATAGAGGAAAAGTACTTTAGGAACAAGAAAGGAATGATAGACTGAGAAAGTCTGACAAGTGTTCTTAAAGCTGCCTGAACTGAATCTTTGAATGATTGATTCCTTTTTCCAAATGGAATTGGAAAAGGCTTTTTAGATAACAGACATTGGGTATGTAAAGACATAAAAGGCAGGAAATAGCGCCTATATTCACATTCTCTGATTCAAGTCAAGTGTTTGAAACAAGATGTATTAGGGACAGGGGTGGAAGTAGAGTTAGAGTGAGCTAAAAGAGGTGTTTTGGGAGGGATGGGCTTTTAAAAACATAGCCTGGACCCTAATATTATATGTAGTACTAAGACATTTATACTTCTCTGTTATACTTACTCAGGTCTTGACATTTGACCCACCTTATAGAAAATTAACTCTGGATAGCAAAATGGACAGTAGACATGCAAGAAAGGCAACTAGAGCACAGAGATAACTTACAGGCAAAACATCTAGGCAAAAGATGTAAGGATTAAGACCAAGTGGCAGAAGTAGGGATAATTCCTGATATATTTGTATAGAATCAGAAATTAGTTGAATATGCTGGGAAAGTTGTAAAAATGACTCCCAGGTACTAGGCTTGGCTAACTCAAGTAAAAAGACTCACCCATTAATTCAATAAATATGCTGTGGTACCCAATTTGAACACTGTGGTACCAAGGTTAACACTGGAAAACATAAATGAAGCCGGGTGCCGGTGGCTCACGCCTATATATAATCCTAGCTACTCAGGAGACTGAGATCTGAGGATCATGGTTCAAAGCCAGCCCTGGCAGGAAAATCCGAGAGACTCTTAATCTCCAATAAACCACTCAGAAAACCAGAAGTGGTACGGTGGCTTCAAGTGGTAGAGTGCTAACCTTGAGCTGAAGAGCTGAGGGACAGCGCTCAAGCCCAGAGTTCAAGCCCCACAACAGACAAAAGAAAAAGAAAAAAAAGAAAACATAAATGAAAATCTCTGCACTGAAGGAGGGAAACAGGACCCAAAAAGAGCTACAAAATAGTTTGACTGGCATGATGTCAGCTCTGCCCAGAATATAGAAGAAATGTGTAGAAGGACTTCAGATCTAGGCTGGTGAGAGGTAACAGGATGCTCCTGTTCATGCCAGTTCCAACACTGCAGCTTCTGTTCCCTTTAAATGTCAGCATTTCTGGTAGTATCACTGTTGTGGTGCTTGTGGTGTTATTGTTCTTTAAAATGTTAAATTAATAATTACAGAACTTTTTCTCCTATAGCTAGAAGAATGCTAAAAGAGTGGTCCAGTATGCGTTAGGCCGGCATAATGATTGACTGTCTTGCATTTACACAGTCTCCTAATGGCCAGCAAAAGCCACAAGACAGTCTTTCAAGGGAAATAACAAGCTCAGCTGTGTGTTTTAGAATGCATCTGGGTAAAGACTAGAACCAGCAACATGGTATTTATTTAGTATAACTGGATAAACCAGGGAGAGACGTTCCCTGCTGTGCAAGTGGAAGGTGGGAGAGGCCTTCCAGGGTACTCTGTGTATCCCACGCATGGTTACTAACCAAAGTCCCTGTGTGCTACAGCAACAGATCTCTTCCACTTTCATTTCTCCTCAGAGAAGTTTTGTATCTTTTAACCAACTCCTCAAATCCCCAACCTCCATCTTCAGGGTCCTTCTGCTTCTCTGGGTTTAACTGTTTTAGACTTCCACACAGAGGAGAGATCATGTGGTATTAGTTTGTCTATACCTGGCTCATTTCACTAACCATAATGTTCTCCAAGTTCATCCACGTGGATGAAACAGACTTTTTTTTTCCCCTTTGTTAGCTCTGAGTTTAATTCCTTAATAAAGGTATTTTTAAATGGCCAAAAAAAGAGTGGTCCAGTAAATGAATACATCATTCATCTATCATACAAATCAATAAATGTTAAAGTGTAGTAGAAAAGAAAAGGGTGACTACTTATGGTCTGATTCATCTTCGTTCTGTAGTACTAGGATTTGAACTGTCTTCATACTTGTTTACACAAGTGTTCTGCCACTTGGGCTACAGCACCACTTCTGGCATTTTGGTGGTTAAATGAAGATAAGAGTCTCAAGGACTTTCCTGCCTGGGCTGGCTTTGAATTGCAATCCTCAGATCTGAGCTCCTAAGTAGCTAGAACAAGGCCATGAGACACCAGTGTTTCTCTAGATAGCCCTTCTTTACCACTGAGCTATTTATACCTCCAGCCCTGATTTTTGCTCAGTGTTTCTTGAGATAGCGTCTCCTTTCCGGAACAGGCATGTGCCTAGGCACATGTTAGGCTTCCTTGGAGCTAGGATAACAGGCACACACCATTGCATCCAGATCTTGGTTAAGAAGGGTTACAGGCTGGCCTGTAACCATAATCCAAACAATCTCAGTCTTCCAAGTAGTTAGTATTACAGGCATGAGCGATCAGTTCCTTAACATTTTAAATAATATTTTACTGCAGAGTTTGTTGATTGTATGAGATTCCCATACAGATCTTGTAAAGTCCTTTAACATTTTATGGCAAGCAAAGTGCCTGTGAATAAAAGTTTTGAGTGTGAGTGTGTGTGTGCGTGTGTGCATGTGTGCGTGCACGCACGCTGATCCTGGGGCTTGACTCAGGGTCTGGGTGCTGTCCTGATCTGCTTTTTCTCAAGGCTAGCACTCTACCAGTTGAGACACAGCTCTGCTTCCAGCTATTTTTGGGGCAGTTTAGTAGAGATAAAAGTCTCACAGACTTTCCTGCCCCAGCTGGCTTCAAACCCATATCCTCAGCTGTCAGCCTTCTGAGTAGCATGAGCCACTGGTGCTCAGTGAAATTCTTGAAACAAAAATTAGCCAGAATGTTAAGTTTAATCAGGATTGGAAAGTCAGGTAAAGTAAAACAGAGTGACAAGGAAAAGATAGGAAATTAAAGATGGATTTAAGAATGCTAAAGACTAATGAATGTGTCAGACTTTTCAAAGACTAATATTTATCATATATTTATATATGACAATAATGATTTTATAACACTAAAAAGAGTGTATACACACATACACACACATTTTTATGGCCTGAAGGATTGAACCCAAGACCTTGTGCATGTTAGGCAAGAGTACTATCACTGAGTTACATCTCCAGTCTTAAATATATATTAAAAAATCATAATCTAAATGAATATCATTAAGTGGTATTAACCATTTTTAAACTTTGAAAGTCCTACACTCTTTACAGATGAAATGTAAATGTACCAGAAATAAAGAAGAAAAACTAAGCTAATTATTTTTGCTTGGGTTTCTCAAAACCTTAGAAACAGGAGAGGTTTTTTTTTTTTTTAATTTAATCTTCTACCCTATGCAGAAAGCAAGAAGATACAAATCTTTCCCCCCGATATAAAGAGACTAAATACTGAGGTTAGCTCATGAGTGTGTAACACAGAACCTAGATTCTCTTTCATGTACTGACTGCTGACACATTTCAGTGTGATTGCCATTTCTTCTGCAGTTGACTGTGTTGCAAAGTTACTGAGCTTGCTCTGGTTTTCCATTTGGGCCTGAAACCCCCCAACCCCACCTGATTAACTGTCTCACAGTGTAGGCCCTTGTCACCAGGAGGGGGATGGGACAGTTTGAAACCCATCAGTGCCGCCAGAACTCGCTGTCATCAGAGCAGTTTGAAGCACCTGTCTCTCAGGTCCTCGCTCTGTCTCCTTCAGGGCCTTTTTTGAGATAACAAGGTGTGTTCCTCTGCACTTACAAGCAAATAAGACAGTGATTAGGACTATTGAGAGGGCATAAAGGATGCCAGGTGCTTCTTCAGCACTCCCTAGAATGCTGAATTTCCTCATGGAAACAGATATACTGGTGCTTTTTAAAGGGACTGTCTAGAGTAGTTCTTTACTGTGGCATATTTGTTTCAAAATTTAATTGTATTTTTTATTGTTTTCCTGTTTAGAACCAAGTTTTACTTTTCAAATTTTTGAGGAGTCTTCTTGATCCAAGGTATGTTAATAAATTGTATTTTTTTCTAATAGGTAAGAAATGAGAAGACCTAAATTAAGATCAAGATACTGGTCAAGATATTATTAACTTTTAATAGTAAGGGGAATAATTATTGCATAGATAAAACTATTCATGATCTGAAAATAGGTATCCTTAGGTACTCATTTTCCATTTGAATAGGAGCAGTTTCAATGTTTGCTCATCATGTAAGTGAAATAATGAAGTCATGGCATAAGGATGAGTTTCAAGAAGGATTTGATGACAATGTAGCTTTCCCTTTTATGCTAGCTTCATGCCTTCCTATACCTAATTCCATGTGTAAGTAGAAAATTATACCTTTTACTTTTTTTTAAATTGATGGTGTTCTTTCTCAGCTTGCTTGTTCATGACTAGTACTCTACCACTTGAGCCATACCTCCAGTTTAGCATTTTGCTGATTAATTAAAGATAGAATCTTAGAGATTTTTCTGCCCAGGAAAGCCTCTGACCTTGAACTAGGATCCTCTGATCTTAGCCTCCTGAGAAACTAGAGTTACAGGCAAAAGCCACTGGCATTCAACTTAGCTCTACTTTTACATAGTTCTCGGCCAACCTCTTAACTGACTACTTAAAAAAAACCCTCACTAGCACATTTAATTTTGACTAAATTGTTAGTGGCATGAGAGGGAAAAATTAAATATGAGTTTTGCAAGTGCTGCTATAAACTTATTTTAAAAAAACAGGAGTTGATAAAATTTGTAATGACTGTATAGGCAAAGCAGCTTTGCATATGAGATCTTTGTTTTACTATGGCTAAGAGGAATGTATTGGGGATTGAGGATAATGACATAAACACCCTCTAAGTTTGTAATCTTGACAAGAAGTATGCATGAATATCACCAAGGATGCTTTTAAAAATACAGATACCTGAGCCCAACTCCACAGAATAATTGGAGCTGGGAGAATTTAATGAATACCTAGAGTAGAGCACGAACATACTTTACCTGAAGTTAATATTTCTGGGTTGGATATGTTTTCATATCAGACATTCTAGCCTTAAGTTGTAATATTCAATACTTAATATTAAAATAGTTATTTCCCTGCTTTAGCAATTCCAGTATCAATTTTATTTATTCAATTGTTCTGTTCTACTTTATTTATTTATTAATTATTTATTCATTTATTTTTGTCAGTCATGGGCCTGAACTCTGGGCCTAGGTGCTGTCCCTCAGCTCTTCAGCTCAAGGTTAGTACTCTACCACTTGAGCCACAGTACCACTTCCAGCTTTTTTTGCTTATGTGGTGCTAAGGTATGCAAGGCAAGCACTCTCCCACTGAGCCACCTTCCCAGCCCCTCTATTCTACTTTTAAATATCAAAATACCAGTGATTCTGCTGATATAGTAATTTTTGAAGCTCAGTAGTTTATATCTTGAACCATTCTTTTCTCAAGGATAATTTATTTTAACCAAGTTCTTTCCCCCAACCATCCTGTCGAGAGATTCAAGCTATAAGGTCAGAGGAGCTCATCTTTGAACTTAGTACATTCTCAAGTAAAGAAGTGTTAACAGTGATGGTGACTAAACATTATTCCCTCTATCTAGTATGAGGGATTGAATGAACCCAGGGCCTCAGGTTTGCTAGGCAAGTGCTCTACACTTGAGCCAAGTTCCAGCCCTGTTGTTTTTAAAACGTTTTTTAAGATAGGGTCTCAAACTTACACAGAGCTGGCCTCAAATTCTTTTATCCTCCTTCTGCCTCACAAGTGACTAGAATTATCGGCATAAACCATGCCAGCTCATATATTACCGGTTTCCTTTCTTGCATTTCATTTCAACTCACTACTGTTACTAGTGCATGCACCCAGTCTGGTCACTGCCCCTTAGCATTCTTAGTCAAGGCTAGCCTTCTACCACTTCTACTTCCCACTGGTTGGTGGTTAATTGGAGATAGCAGTTTTATGGACTTTCCTGCCTGGGGTGGCTTTGAACTGTAATCCTCAGATCACAGGTGCCTAATTAGCTAGGCTTATAGGCATGAGCCACTAGTACCCAGCTATATTTTCATTTTTAAATGGTAAAAAAGACACATCATACCAGGTGCTGGAGGCTCATGCCTGTAATCCTAGCTACTCAGGAGGCTGAGATCTGAGGATCGCATTAACCACCAAAAAACCAGAAGTGGCGCTGTAGCTTAAAGTGGTAGAGAACTAACATTGACCTGAAGAGCTCAGGGACAGCACCCAAGCCCAGAGTTCAAGCCCCACAACCAACAACAACAAAAAAGACACATAATTTCTCTCATATGTGGAAGTTAGGTCTAATATACAAATATTTTTGTAAACATATACTTGGTTCTATGCATATATATGTAAATATATCAACTAAAGTATAGTATATCCAAGGGAGTATTCCAATGATTTAACTCCTTTGAACAACTAACTTATCATAAAAGAAAATGAATACCAGAAAACTGGATGAGGTAGTAGGGGGTAGGAGGGAGTCAAAGAGAGGAGGTAGATTAATGAAGAGAAAAGGATGGGAAATGCAGTTATAATATTCATTGTATATATGTGACAATGGAAACAGGTCACTTGAGCGGATGAGTGTGGTTGGGAGATATGGGGAAAAATGATGAAAGGCTTTATTACAAACTGACATGTTGAATTGAAACCCCTTTGTACAGCTATTTAAAGATTAAAAATAATAATAAGCAGCAAAAAAGACCATACTAGGTAATGTTAGTATCAGTATAGTCGTTTACTATGGTATCACAATCACTATTTAAGCTTCATACTAATGAAAATGGCAAATCACAGGAGAATGAAGTATTAGAAAGGCTTGCTCAGTTATTACCTATTCCTAGATTTGCCAGATGCTAGTAACTAAGCTCTTTTAAAAGTACAGTGACAGCTGTGGATGTAGCTCAGTAGTGCTTTTCTATCACACCCCTTAACAGTGGGGGCAGGAGAGGGAAGGAGGGGAGAAGAATACAATGAAAGCCGTTTTTTGCTAGTAAACCACAAATCATTTTACCTTTACTTGAGAAACCGGCATGTTTTATATCCCCAAACTGATCCTAGTCCTGGTTAATTTCTAACTTGGAACATCTGTTCCTTTCCTGCAATGTCAGTTCACCCACAAGGACCTGTTTGACCTACCACAGAGAGAAGCAGTGCACCTTCCCCACAGAAAGCCCCTGCTTCCCTCCTACCAAAAGCAGCATGACCTGGATGACCTTGCTATGTCAGCAGTCAAATCTCTGGTTTTACTTTCTCCTAGCAGAAACTAAAGCCTTGAATTAACTGGATGGATGCTTTAGTTCCACCTTTAAAGCAACCTGCTTTTATGTTGGCCCATTCACCTCCACATTTTCAAGGACCTCGTTTATGCTCTACTTTGAGAGTCTCAATTCTCAAGTGCATCATATTTCATCCTCTTACTTTATGTCCTATAGAGGAGTCGAGCACAATTTAGATTAGACTTTAAGTTTATTTTGAGTTTAGTGTTTGGCATTTCAGTCACTTTTATAGGAAGAGTATTTTTATTTATTTTATTACTATTGGCATTTCAATCGTTTTTATAGGAAGAGTATTTTGATTTATTTTATTATTATTGGGTAGTTGTAAAAAGGGGTTACAATTCCATAAATCAAATTATGAGTACAATGCTTCTTGGTTAATGTCACTCCTTCCTTTGTTGTTTTTTTTTTACGTAATGTACATTGAATACAATAACTAGATAAAGAGTATTTTTTAATGATAGTATCTTTTTTAATGATAGTATCTTCTTAGCCCAACTTGCAAAAGCCTTTTAAATCCGTAATGGAAATATGTAATGCTAGTAATATATTGAATTCTGGATTAAGAGGAGAAATGATGTTAAGAACCTGAGGGCAAAGGGAATTTCAGCGCTTTCTTTTTTTTGTTGTTTGGTTTTTGTTTTTGTTTTTGTTTTTTTGGGTCCGGTTGTGGGGCCTGAACTCTGGGCCTGGGTGCTGTCCCTCAGCTCTTCAGCTCAAGGCTAGAGCTCTACCACTTGAGCCACAGCGCCACTTCCGGCTTTTTTTTCCTGCTTATGTGGTGCTGAGGAATCGAACCCAGGGCCTCATGCATGCAAGGCAAGAACTCTACCACGGAGCCACCTTCCCAGCCCTTCAGTGCTTTCTTTAAAGTTTTTCCCCTTCTTTTTAGGGGTACATACTTCTTCAAGCTCTCCATTACTAAGCACACACAGATATATAGTGTTTTTCTCAGTTTTTCTGTTACACATTTCTCTCTCTTCTCTTTCTCTGACTTCTCTCTCCTCTCTCTTTCCTCTTCCATCTCTCTCTCTGCTCTCTCTCCCTTCTCTTCTCTGTATCTCTCTCCTCTGTCTCTCCTCTCTTGTCCTGGGGTTTGACCTCAAGGTCCCATGCTTGCTACTCATACTGCATGTATAGTTGATTAAACACTTACATTAAGTTGTTTTTAGGAAGGGAGTTTTTAATTTTTTTAGTGGAGTTTTAAAAAGGAATAAATCATCTACTTGAATTCTTATGTATATTTCTCTCTTGCTCAGTTTAAGTTAATTTTGTTATATAATAATTTCACCAGTAGATTTAATTGACCTACAAAGGTATTGGTGGCATCTGTACATGGAAAGATTAGATAGGTTTGGGGGGAGATGGAGTTAATCCTCCAGAAACAAATTACTTGCCTGAATTGAGGCCAAGAGCTTGGGAAAGAAAGGATTTGCATCTCTTGGTGTTTCTCCTTTAAGAAGCTGCTACACAGAGCTCCCCTACCCCCTTTTCTACCCCTGTCCTCCTCCCCTCCCTCCCTGTGTGCTTCTACTGGCCACCAGTTTTCACAGGGGTTCTGATGAATTCACATCCAGATGCAGGCCCTTTGTGTACTGTGCATGTTGAAGGACAATACAAAGGACAATGATGAGTTGTGTGAGGCCATGCGCTACAAACGGGGAAAATGTGCAAGTGTGTGTATGTTAAAAACATTTTCCTTAGTTTCATTTTCCTAGTCCT